CACGAGGTGACTCTGTTTCATGATCACAGGGAGGTCTTCCACTCCATAGACACACGAGTAATGGAACATTTTTCCTGTAATTGAAACCTGGAGGGGATGCTGCTTCACATCCAAGCGCTGTTTCGCTTTTGGATTGTAGGATTTTGTGAACCGTCTATTTCACGGCGGTCGCCTAGAGTACGTATCACAGCAATGGCCGTCAGTATTCGCCTAAACTGTCTCCCGTATTGCCTTGTCGTCGCCCAGCCAATTCGTCACAAGTGCTCATATGCATTCCTTTTCAGTTTTGCTAATGAGACGCAGCACCTCTCTTTGATTGGAATGCGTGGAATAAACTTTTTTGGCCACAGCTTTTTGCACTGCCTGCAACTTCTGACCGGCTCATCATGTTTAGGGCATTAGTGCTCTAGGGCTAGTATTAGTGTAAGACTGGTGAGCCGCCCCGTACTCCCTCACCTTTTTGCATTCTGGTGCGGCAAAAAAGTTAGTGAGTGCGAGGCTGATCTGGCGGCGTAACGAATAGCGCACTTGCTTGCAGGGCAAGAGGTTTGGATTCGACTCCCGCCTCGGGTCAAGCCTTTTGCCCATAACTCCACATTCATGTGATATGTAGTCTTCTAGAGAACGACCTCAAATCATGGGTTAATTCACTTTGGAACGCCTGCTGGGGCTTTCAGCAGATTTCTGCTCTAACCTACCCAGCGAGAGCGGTCCTGGAACGGCTCCGCCAGCTGCTCATTAACTTGATCAAACGCAACAAATGGCTCTCCAGTTCCCTGTATCATTTATGGAAGAAACATTTTTCTGTACAGATCATTTAAAGGAAAGCCTGGTCTACCGAACATCCGAATTTGAACTCTTTGATAGCACTGCTTTTGAGATCTTGGAAAAAAATTGATTATCACTTGTAACGTGTCGCATGCATGATATTCGTCAAGCTTCTGAAGGCTGTGAGAGGGCTAAAAGCGACCGCTTTAAGTGCCGCCAGTATTTTGAACTTTGAATTGTTTGTTGTAATGTACTACCGATTATGATAATATCAGTACTACTACTAATACTCTAATACTTCGATATTATTAAGCTTTGATACTCTTATATGTATTGCACTGATTCGTGTATAATACTTATGGTTAGAAGCGATTTCTGGGAATAATCCTAAAATGGCATTGAACTATGTACTATCTGTGTACCACTTATTTTGCCCCACCCCGGGAAAAGTTTCGGCGAATACGTCTCACCACTATTGCATGAACCGAGCGGCAGCGCGATTCTATCAGGTTTTACCAATTCACTTACAGCTACTAGACAGCATGTGCTTGAGGCTGAGTTCATACATACTTTGCTGCAGCGTCCACTGGCGTTTCGAGTGTCAGCGACTGGGAAAGTATAGATATCGTTCTAGCGTCTGCCTGCCACGTCCACCAGCGCCTCGAGGGCAAGGGAACCATGGGTATCGACCCACAACGTTGCCAGCTTGAACGCTCCATCGCATCGGCCGTCTGAAGAAGGAGAGTATAGCGCATAGAAAAAGCAGACAACTGGTACCCTATTATCTCCTCATACTCTACCAGCTGTCTGCTACCTTCCCATCGCGCCATACTCTCACGCTGGATCGATATTTATACTTTACCAGTCGTTGACGCCGCCGGACGCTCGAAAGGCTAGTGGACGCTGGTGGATGCTGCCGTGAAGTATGAACGCGGCCTATATGAGCGCTGACGGTATGAGAAAAGTTATTTTTCCCTAATTTTTCTCTGCTTGGGCAGCAGCACACAGGAATCGGCACGCTTCTCCTAGGGCGCCTCGACCTCATCTGGCGTTGTGCTGACGACCTCCGCACCTGAGGATTCGTGAAGAGGTGCCTAATGAGATTTACCTTTGCAGTGATCAATAGTCCAGACTTGATATCGGGATATATAGCCGTTCATTGCAGCAATACTCGATGTGTAATCATTAAATTCCACTGGATGTTCCAAAGCATACAATTTTTGGAAGGCTAGTATTCGTTTTCCGTCGAAACTTCCCGTTATGTTGAACTCTGGAAACGTTCACTTCGCTTCATGTTTTTTTTTCCTCGAAAGAAAAGCAGTACTCTCACGTAATGGGTTCCCCAGCATTGTCGCCCAAAAACTTTCGTCTGCAATATACGTGGGAGATAAGTAGTTGAGAAGTGCCTTGGAAAGTGGCGTATTCACGAGTTCCTTTACTGTTCGACGTGGGAGCAGCAGAGACAAAGGACTCTTTATGAGTGGCAGAGGTGATTCGGAGGCCTGAAAAAATTTCCGAAGATGTTAATAGCATTGAATTGGGTAACATCGGTCGCTTCTTGCAATGCTCAGAGAGCCTTTCAATATTTATGCCACTTCATCTTTGCCTGAACGCTCACGATATGTTCGGTAAGGTGGTTTAGGTTTTGCGTTCTGTCCAAGTTGGAGGAGGAGACAGAATACATAGGCGTGTGCACCAAGGATCGCACAAAGCGCAGAGAGGGCCTACATCGTTTCGCAGAGGATGCCTTGTTCTGAGCGATGGTGCTAACCGTTGCGGCTTGCTATAGACTCAACGAGGTCCGTTCCCTATTGCTTGCTCTACTACAGCTGCATTACTACTGAAGCAGCTGGCACTAATACATGCTCCAGCATCTGTATTTCTGTATTATATTTGAGAACCCGCTATTGAAACCCCATTAAATTGCAACGACGGTTTTTACTATGGGGAAAGCTCCATAATCCGGAGAAACTCCAAAAAACATTCACCTCTCTGGTCTGTAGACGATCTAAAGGGAATGGTTCCACAAAGGTGTTCACGGTTTCGTTGAGACGCTTGAAAATTTGAACCATTTCAAGATTGGTTCTAAGTGGAACGTCTACTCCAGACAGATACTGTAAAGGCATATTTCAACGTGAGGCGAATTCCAATCGAGATGCAAAAGAAGAATCGGCACCACCAACTAGTACTACCCGAAACTTCGAGGGAAAAATGTTTTGCTGGAACTTTGCCTATGCGGGTATTAAATCCCCTGGTCACGAGTACTAGTTTTTGGCTCCTGGCGCCACTAGGTACCAAATCGGCGCCACCACTTTTTTCTACCAATATCGATGTTAAACTTGCATACTGAGTTCATTCGGTGTTCTGATCACGAATACGACATTCATTTTTGGGACTGATGTCGTTTAGACGCGCTCAGTTTCGGCTGCGAGCTCATTTATGATGTGTCTAGTTCACCAAATCTTCAAAAAGCCTGCACTGTATACAGTGGTATTCAAACATCTCGTTTGAAATAATGACACTTCATTCATATAACGCTAATGGACAGGCACTATGATTTATCTGTGCTCCGCTAAAGGCATGAGCCGCTAGAGGATAATCGATTGATGTCCTTCCATATAACGCAAGAACGAAATGTCTATAGGGGAATCAGGACTGAACTGAAATAACCCGTCATTATACAAAAGTATTGCTGAGGATCTGGATGATCTAGCACTTCATAAATAGCTCGCAAACAAAACTGCAGCTCGTTACAACGCCCTAGCATAAATTTTAGCCCCTCAGCACACTACGATGTATATTATGGCTTACAACTTGACGTCACAACGCCTTTCCTCACAAAATCGATAAAATTGTATTATCAGCGTAGCTCGACGAATGCTTACTAAAGCAAAACAATAATAAAGGGCAATACCAAGTGACAACCACTTAGCGCGCTGACCGTAAAAAACTGAAGCCTAGGAAAAGGAGAGAATCCCTTCGCAGCAGGTAATATCCAGTGTTCTTCGATCAGGACACCGAAGCAAGACGTGTTGTCACATTTGTAAACAGGCGTGAAAAAATAATTTCCACCCCCCCCACCTAAATGATACAATATAATTCAACAACTTTTTATGGCTAAAGTAAAGGATTTTTGGCGACGGGCGCTTGTTTGCGCGAGCGACCAGCGCGGTATTAGAGACCTGAAAACGGATAGTGGATGTCGTTTTTCAGGGAGTCAAGGTTCCCTATGAGGTGAAGAATTCTTCGAATTCGAGTGCAATTTAAGCCCATTGGCAGGGGGATTAGCGTGTCCAAAGGTATTTTGACGAAGGCCGCCTGTGAGGCGGACAGCCACATAAGCACACAAATAAACACCATTAGGTATATCCCAAAAGTTCGTGGATCTGTCGGACATTTTTCCGAGTTAAGTTTATTCCAGTGGGAAGCAATTTTGATCAACTATATATATGTCACCTTCATTGGCAACTTGTTGCCAATCACTACGCAATGTGTGGTTGCCCTGCTTCCAGAAGCCTCTTGGTTCTGTGCCCAGAAAGGCAGCTGGGTCATTTTTGAGGTACTATCAAAAATCGTATTTTTACCAGAAGATGGCCGCTGTGGGATTAGTTTAGATGGCGATCGGAAAGAGCTAAGTCAGGGCTACACGAAGACTGTGGTGGAATTCCCCAGCTAAGCTTCGGGATCTCGAGCAGTGTCGTTTTCCAAATGTGTGACCCTGAGCTGTGGTGGAGTAGGCAAACATTGCTCGGTTTTGGGACCAAATGTTAGCGATTTTCAACCCCCCTTTGCAGTTGATTACAATAGGGTTCGTAGGTTACCACAGCGCTGAGAAGAAGAAATTCCATTATGGGAAGGGAGAAAGAAACCCCACCACATACACAGTCTCACCGCCCTACTGGATTGATAGGATTGCGCGATCGGTTCTGCCCTTTCTGGGGATCTAGCCGCTGGCGCTCCCGGGAGTGATTCACCTAGAGGCACCCACTCCATATCCAGTTACAGTGCTGTTCAACCAGCCCGTACAGCGGAAGCGGGAGAAAAGTTGTAGACAGTACCCACATGTGCTCCCCTTGGAGTACTGGTCAACTCATGAGAAAAATTTTGACCGAACTTCAGAACTTTTCTAAGGGAGCGAGGCCCTCTCTCATTTGTGCTTTGGGACCAGTCAAGTGTAAGGACTAGATAGCAAGTTGATTTGTACGTATTGGTTTTAATCAAGGAACACAGTAGGTCCAAATCCAAGGCAGGTGGCCTCCTTGGACGAAGTTTTTCACCCGGATAGAAGTCACTAAAGCGGAAGCAATTGGGCCATTCCAAAGCCGTACTGTGGAAGCTAACATCAAGATCTAAATAAGGGAAATGCCGCTTATGGCTCCAACCACGTTGTGGCTTGGTAGAGATTCATATAGCGAAGTGTGTCGAAAATGATGAATTTCAATTACCG